TTTTGGATATACAGGAATTATGGGAAAAGATTTAGAGGGAATGAATCTAGTAACTGTCATCATATATGACAACAGGGAATTGCAATTACATGAATCAGAATGGAAGCATTCGATGCGTAGATGGAAGGTCGATAAAGGGAAAACAATCCACATAGGTTGCAGAATCTTTAATGTTAGCAGTAGAAAAGATTTCTCTCCTTTAACCCAAATGACTATGAGAAGATTTTCTGAACAAAGAACAGAACCTACAATAGGTGGGGAACATTGTGAATCTCATGTTTGCTGGTTCAATTTTACTATAATTCAATCAGTATCAGTTGTCTGTTTAGGGAGCACTGGCAAAGGAGACAGAGCATTATCATTTAAATTTGGGTTGGACATTTCCCAGGAAAAGATTTCGACTACGGCTATACCTGTGTCCATCACGGTGTCTACTTCTACACCCCAGAAAATGACAGCACCTTATGTATATGAAGTGGGCCCCTATATAGTTAAGTGTATGGGCAAATGGAAAATGATAGTTAATCCAGCATGGTCATTAAAGAAAGTGGAGCTAATAATGCAAATCAACGTTTCTGCCATTCAACCAGCTTGCACCCCTTTCCTTCTGACCTCCTATGCAGGGTGGAAAGCTTGGCTGAATATGAGGATTCTCACATCTCAAAGGAGAAAAAGGGATACAACAGGCCTTGTGGGAACAGGTTTAGGAATTTTGAAGAGTATAGATTCTGAGGTGCTGGCGAGTAAGCTGTCCACCATTACGCAAGACTTAAGTAGAATACAAGACCCGTTACGATCGTCACTCTTAGCAGTAGGTAATAACCAATATCTAGTGTCAGATGTACTACCCCAATGGGAAGGGCTAAATGACCAGGACCCCAACAGAGCCCCCAGGATCCCAGCGAAGATGCCAGGATCCCACAGAGGCTCCAAGACCCGAGCGAAGACCCCTGGACAACAACGGAGCCCCCAGCACATCAACAAAACCTCCAGGACACCAACAGAGCCCCCAGGACCTCAACAGAGGCCCCAGGACCCCAACAGAGCCTTCAGGACACCAACAGAGGCCCCAGGACCCCAAGAGAGCTCTCAGGACTCCAACAGAGCCCTCAGGACCCGAGCGAAGACCCCAGGACAACAACAGACATATTCTGTCTCCGATTCTCTCGCGGTTCTCGCAAAATCTTTTCGCAGCTTTGCCTATTTGGTTGCCGCAAAAGGGATTTCTTTAGTAATAACCTGGGGACGATTATCACCGTCGTCTTCATATACGAATTCCGTTTTAACCAACGGGTACATGTGGGGGGGGCTGCCTGCGGTCTCTTTTGCTCCCTTCAAGTCACCCTGGGGATAGATCGATCGTATCCCTTTCTCTGCCCGCGCTACTTCTGTTTCCACCAAGGAGTCTGCGTCCCTCAGGAGCTGATTCCTTAACTCCTCCTTCAATATTACGTTTTGGCACTGATGTGGGGAATTGAAAATTAGTTCGATTTTGCTATAGCTTGAGTTTAATTTTGTTATATAATTTTGCATCTATGTTAAAGAAAGAGTTAAACACTGTTATTCAGTTTAGTTCTGTTCTTTTGTAATCTTGCTAACAAGGACTGTTGTGGCTCAAATGTAGCTAACAAGGACTGCTTGCGAGACAGACAAAGAGAAACAAGGACTGATAACCAGAACTTTGTTGTCTGTAAGAAGCAATTCTCTATCTGAAACTGCTTCTATGGTTTGGGACTCAGCCAACACAGACAACTCAGGAATTTTTGAGCCAAAGGTGAAAGCGCACAGCAAGGAAGACTACGAGGCTTCATCCAGAAGACCCCCACAGACGACCACCAGACGACACTGCGCAAATGCTAAAGGGGGGTGGAGTATGATAATGAATTCCTAGAAATAATTACAATAGTCCAGCCTACTTAGATAAGCTTTGTAATAAATAGGTGCATGGTTCATGACTCGGTGTGCAAGTTAGGAGGAGCGATCCCCCTTGCACCCGGCGCCGCAATAAACATACCTGCTTTATAACTCTTTGAGTTGTGAAGTTGATTCCGCACGTCAGGATGCACATGAGACAAATGCCATCATAGTTTTAAGACCATGTAGACAATACAGCTGATGGAGAACAGAGGAAGAGAGACTTAGCTCTCCCTGTGTCACAATACTCCATTCGGTCAGCTGATTACATCTATAGGCATCCCTGGACATAAGAAGTATTTCCAGGTTCAGTTGTCTTAAATGTGGGCACCTTCTGTCATTTAAGTCGACCAAAGGCATTTCCCACCAGCCTCCAGGAAGGTGCCCTCAGGCGCTGCTGTGTCTCTATGAACTGCTCCATTAGAGCTTGCAGTTACTGGCAGGCAGCTTGGTCATCTCTGGAACCAAAACAGGGCACCAGGTGTCTGTGTCTGAACATCTTCCTCCTGCCATCCACCTTCATCAATTAGCAAGGGAGCTGAGACAAGGAGCTGCCATGCAGGATCCTATATGGTGCCTATCTGAACTGAGGCAAGAGGAATTTGGAGTCCTGGCTGGACGAGAGGGGACATAATTTGGTGCGTTGAGCAACCCAGGTTCCGATCCGGAAGTGAGCCTTGGGAGCGGCTGACACGGAACCCTGCTGGGAAGGCAGAGCGACGAGCTCGGGACACTGGAGCAGGGGGAACGTCACCGTTTCCTGCCACACTGTCACTTCCTTCCTGCCACGTTGTTGTTTCCTGCCACAGTACTGTTTTCACTTTGAGATGCAGCTCTGCACCAATCACAACGAGTTGCAGTAGTTTTCCTATATATGGGTTGGGTGTTTAACCAATCAGATGCTGTAATAGTTTTGCTATATAAACCTTGTTTTTGCTGACTAATAAAGGTGAACGATCATACTCATATTGGGGTCACATCGTTACAACGGATTCGTAACCCACGCCAACAAAACATCAGTGATTACTTCATCCTGTTTCACAACAAGTTGTCCTGGAGACCAAAAGAAACCTCAAGGGAGCCCAGAGTAGATAAAGATACCAAGCTGGGAGCACTGACGAGAGACAGCTCTACCCAGAAGCAGAACCTCTGCAAGGTGAAGCAGGGCTGAGGGCGTTGCCTGCAGACACCTAAGGGGAAGAATTGAGGCAGTGAGAGGTTAAAGGCAGTCTGGAGCAGCAAGATTCTAAGAGTTGACCGGGGATGAAATCTTCACAGTCATTCACATGGTAAGTCTCTGGCTGTAGGACAATGCAGGTGCGGTTCCTGGAGGGATCTCCTAAAGCTGGTGCATCCCACTGTTTACTGGAGCTCTCGGGATGTCTCTCACAGTATGTCTGTTGTGAAGGAGAAGAACATGCTCCAGAGCAGGGCTTCCCTGCTGTCCTGTCAGAGGGACAGGGCATGCTGGCTGCCTGCTTCTGGAGATGACTACAGGGCTCTGCAGCCAGGGGTGCCCAGGGCTGTCCTTCAGAGCAGAGTCCTTTCACTCCTGGGGTCTTTGTGCTGCTTTTCAGGGTCAGCACTCAGCCTGCCCAGGAGCTCCCCATGGAGCTGCAGGGAGAAGCTGTGGGTGGAAGGAGTGACCCCCCAGTAGGGCAGGGTCATTCTGCTGTCAAGAGGGTGCTGTGTGGGTCAGGGCTGCTCACAGCACCGGATAAGCACTAGAAAACTTCCAAGGGGGTTTTTCAAGAGGAAGGCCAAGGCAGGGTCTACTATAAAGAGATTTCCCGAGTCTGTGTTTTCAGTTTCCTCCTGTGAGGGCAAGTGACAAGAGGGGGGATAAGGAGGGAAGGCAAGTGAAATAGAAAAGGAATTCTCTAGATTGAACTAGACATTGAGACTCCCAAGCTGTATCTTTGGGTTGTCAGTAGGTCTGCCAGGAGCCTCCAAAGCTGCCTTCAGCCTCTCCTCTGCTGCCTGCAGACAGGGCTAGCATCGCCTCTGCTGGACCCATCAGGGTGTTTTGTCCTTTTGAACCTTCCAACTGGAAAATGCACACAGCCAGTGCCCTGCAAACAGGCAGGTTCTGCAGGTGAGTGTACAGAGTTTCGGATGGGGTCTGTGAGCACTGACAGGGAAATACATGGGACAGGGAAACACCTCCCAGGAGGAGTTTCCCTCAAAGTGAGGCTATGATCAGGGAATGAGGGGAAAATAGAACCAGAAATGTTGTGGGAGGAAAGATTCAGAAAACTCTGTGTCATCCCCTCCAACACAGAATACTTAATCTGAGCAAGCCCTCTTCACTTTTCTTGCACTTAGCAAAGATCCCTCAGGGCTGTGGAGCTCAAGGCACAAACCAACTCCTTTAAAGCCAGAGCTCCATCAGAGCCATGGTGCAGCTCTCCCACACTGTATCCATTTTTCTCGGCAGAGCACAGGGGCTGAGAGCAGCTGCCCGGCAATGTTGGTGTCTGGGAGGTGCTGTGTGATCATTCTCCATATCAGAAAGTGCAAGCTCAGGGCAGCTAGGAACAAGATGAGCGACAGACCAGCTTCCCTCACTGTGCACTAAGCCACAGGCAGTCCTTTTGCCTTGCAGAACTCACTCTGTTCTCCCCGAGTGCAGCAGAAATGCCGAGGGTTTCTGACATCCAAGAGCACTTCCCAGGTGAGATGAGGAGAGCTGCCAAAGAACCCCAGACCTTTCAAACTAACTTCTGTTTGCATGATTCCTTAGCTGACAAGCTCTGTCACATCAGGAGCAGTTTCATCTGACAAAGATGAACACCAATACAGGTCCCTGCCCCACCACGCTCGTGAATCCACTGCTACATAGAAGGGCTGACCCCTCGTCAGCCTGTTGGCAGAGGTCCTGCTCCTCAATGCACATTCAACCACCACCAACCAAAGCTCCATGCAGACATGTGCAGGAAGGTCTCCCAGAAAAAGAAATTCAGGTGGGAGGGGCAGGCTGGGGGGTGTATCATGGATACATCCTGAGAAATGTCTCAGAGAAGAATTGCCTAAACACTCATTGTTTTTAAATGCTTGGACAGTGTTTCTGTTCCCAGAGGAATAAAATGTCCAATACCAGCTCCATCACCAAGTTTGTGCTCCTGGCCTTTGTGGAATCATGGGACCGGCAGCTCTTGCACTTCTGGCTCTTCCTGGGCATCTACCTGGCTGCCCTCCTCAGCAACGGCCTCATCATCATCACCATAGTCTGCGACCACCACTTCCACACCCCCATGTACTTCTTCCTCCTCAACCTTGCCATCATTGACCTTGGCTCCATCTCCAACATTCTCCCCAAATCCATGGCCAGTTCCCTCTGGGACTCCAGGGACATCTCCTATGCAGGATGTGCTGCCCAGGTCTTTCTGTTTCTCCTCTTAGTTGGAGCAGAGTATTGTCTTCTGACTGTCATGGCCTATGACCGCTATGCTGCCATCTGCAAACCCCTGCACTGTGGGACCCTCCTGGGCAGCAGAGCTTGTGTCCACATGGCAGCAGCTGCCTGGGGCAGTGCTTTGCTCAATTCCCTCCTGCACACTGCCAGTACATTTTCCATACCCCTCTGCAAGGGCAATGCTGTGGAGCAGTTCTTCTGTGAAATCCCCCAGATCCTCAAGCTCTCCTGCTCACACTCCTACCTCAGGGAAGTTGGGCTTCTTGGGGTTACTATTTCTTTAGGTTTTGGGTGTTTTGTTTTCATTGTGCTGTCCTATGTGCAGATCTTCAGGGCTGTGCTGAGGATCCCCTCTGAGCAGGGACGGCACAAAGCCTTTTCCACTTGCCTCCCTCACCTGGCTGTGGTCTGCCTGTTTACCTGCACTGCAGTACTTTCCTACCTGAAGCCCCCCTCCATCTCTTCGCCAGCCCTGGATTTGGTGGTTTCATTCCTCTACTCAGTGGTTCCTCCAGCAGTGAACCCCCTCATCATGAGGAACCAGGAGCTCATAGACACCCTGAAGAAGCTCATTCAATCAGCAGTATTTCAGCAGAAATAAGCTGCCCGTGTCTGTTTGCAAGAGATTTCCAGTGCTGTTGGGGAACCTTGTGTACTTCGGGCATTTTATCTGTGATAATTCTGTTTCTCCAGGAATGTTTGCACCCACTCCACTCTGTTTGACCCAGACATCTTTGCACATGTGTCTTTCACCACGGTACAGATGGCCTCTAGTGTAAAATCTGTCTAATAAAAGTTGATTTCCACAGTGCCAGTGTCTGGAGATTGTGCTCGTCCATGAGGGGACACAGCTGTCCAGAAGAAGGGATCCAGGCATCCAGAAAATATGATCCAGGTGTCCAGGAAAAGGGATCCAGGAATCCGACAAATGTACCCAGGTGTCTGGATAAAGGATCCCGGCATCCAGGAGAGGACCCAGGCTTTCAGGAACAGGGATCCAGGCACCCAGGACAGGACCAGCCATCTATGACGAGGGACCCAGGCATCTGGGAGGGAATGCAGGTGTTTGAGATAGGGGACCCAAGCAGATGAGGTAGGGGACCCAGGCATCAGGTATAGGGGACCCAGGTTTTTGGATGGAGAGGCAGGAATCCAGGAAAGCACTGAGGCATCTGGGAAAAGACCCAGGCATCCAGGACAGGACAGGATCCAGGCATCCAGGAAAGGGGCCCAGGCATGTGGTGAAGTGCCCAGGCATCTCAGAAATATTCCCGTACATCTGGGACAGGTGATCCACATGTCCAGGATAGTGGAATCAAGGCATCCCAGAGGGCACCCAGGTGTCAAGGACAGAGGACCCAGATGTCGAAGAAAGAGGACCCAGGCATGCAGGAGGGGTCCCAGGCATCCTGGAACAGGGGACCCAGGCATTTGGGTGAAGAAGCACGATGCCCTGTTCCAGTTTCCAGGATGCCTGGGTCCCTGCTGCTGGTCCATCACAGATGCCTAGGTCCGCTCCAAGACAGCTGGGTCCATCTCGAACACCAGGGTTCTGTCGTAGACATTTCAGTCCTCTCCCGGATGCGTAGGTCCCCTTTCACTGATGTGTGGGTACCTTTCACAGATTCTGAGGCCACATTCCCAGGTTCCTGGGTCCCCTCTCCTGGATGCCTAGGTCCCCAGTCCTGGTGGCCTGAGTCCATTTCTTGGATGCTTGAATCTCCTATCCTGAACACCTGGGTCTTGTATCCCAGATGCCTTGTTTCACCCTGTCCTGGATGCCTGGGTCCCCTGTCCTGGACACCTACATCCCATTACCCAGACAACTGGATCTTTTCCCCAGACACCTCAGTCCCTTGCTTGGATGGCTGCATCCCCTATCCCAAATGTCTGGGTCCCTTGTTCCAGGTGCCAGAGCCCTTTTCTGAGAAACCTTAATCCCTGCCTTAGACACTTGGGTCCCCTAGCTGGTGGGTTTCCATTTTGGACATGGGCTGATGCTAGGGTGGGGGTGAGGTGGTAGAACAAGCACTGAGGACAGTGGTGCCCATTTGGGCTGCAGCACCTCAGCTGGGACACCAGGACCAGGACCACAGTTGTCCCAGGGACACCTGGCACCAAGAACCACAAAACCCACAGGTGTAAAAGCTGTGCTTCGGAGATCTACATACACACACACCTGCTGTTCCTCCAGTACGGGCCTGGGCTTTGGGTCTGACCAGATGCCCAGCTCAGACTCAGAGCCATTACCCACTTGGCAGCTCCAGCCCTGGACCTCTCCAGATCCTGGTGTTCGCCTCCTCCTTGCCAGTCCAACTTAGAACTGACCAGCAATGCAAGTACGTGTATTCAGGCCCAAACACGCACACAACAGTGAGCCCACTCACACAACAGATAGCCAGGAACAGAGTCTAATAAATGTCAGAGCTGAATCCCTGTCGGCAGCTCAGCACCAGACAGCTGCTCACTCAGTCCCATCTCATTGGGATGGAGAAAAGAGAATAGTGAGACAACTCACAGGTAGAGATAAAGACAGTTTCACAGGCTAAAGAAATGTTGTGTGGACAAGCAAAGCAAAACAAAAATCATTCAGTACTTCCCATCATCAGGCAGACATTTAGCCATTTCGAGGAAAGCAGGGATACTTCACAGCTGACACTGTCTTGGAAAGACAAATGGCATCATTCTGGACATTCCCTCTTCCCTTCTTACCCCAGCTTTTATTGCTGAGCACAATGTCCGATGGTATGGAAGATCCCTTTGGTCAGCTGGGGTCATCTGTCCAAGGGGTGTCCACTCCCAGCTTCTTGTGCACACCCAGCCTACTTGCTGTCAGGGCAGGGTGAGAAGCAGAAAAGGCCTTGGCACTGTGCAAGTGCTGTTCAGCAACGACTAAAACATTGATGTGTTTTCAAAGTTTTTTCCATCACAAATCTAAAACACAGTCCCACACAAGTTACTATGAAGATCACCAACTCTACCCCAGCTGAAACCAGTATAATAAGTAGGACAGACCACAGTGATCAGGCACAGGGTTTGGCAAGACCAGCGCTGACCAGTTACCTCTCCATGGGCAGCTGGCCCCTTGATTCCTCTTCCTTCCCACACTTCCATAGGCTTCTGCTTCCATGATGCACCTTGATCCCTCCCTTTCTCTGCCCGTTCTCTTCCCCAGTTCATAACCTCAGCAACTACTTTTTCCCCAATAGTCTCACGATTTGTCTATTTTTACCAACACTTGATAGCTAAGGTGCCATTGCCTAGGGTCTCTGGGACTTCAGTGGCATAGGATCAAAAAATCATGGAACAGTTATTGTATGAAGAGACCTTATAGATCACCTTGTTGCAATTCCTCCCTGCCATGGGCAGGGACACATTGCACTAGACCACCTTTCTCAAAGCTCCATCTAACCTGGCCTTGAACACTTCAAGGGAGGAGACATCCACAAAATCCCAGAGGTGTCCGCTCCATTTTCTTGTGCAAGCCCAGCCTATTTGCTGTCGGGGCAGCGTGAGAAGCGCTTGGCACTGTGCAGGCGCTGTTCAGCAATGACTCCATCACAAACCTAAAACACAACCCCATGCAATTTACTATGAAGATCATTAACTCTACCCCAACTATAACGAGCACAACAAACAAGACAGAAGCACATGGTTTGGCCAGACCAGTACTGACCAGCCATCTCCCTACAGGCCCCTTGAATCCCCTTCCTCCCCACTCTTCCACAGGTTGCCTCCATGAGCTACATTGATCCTTCCCTTTCTATGCCCATGCTTGTCCACAGTTCATAAACGTTAACAATTACTTTTTCCGTGATAGTCTCAGATTTTCTCCATTTGTACCCGAATTTGATAGTTTGGATACCATTGCTTCGGTCTTCTGGGACTTCAGTGGCATAGAATCACAGAATGGTTAGGGCATAAAGGGACCTTAAAGACCATCTTGTTCCAACTCCTCCATGCCATGGGCAGGGACACTAGACCAGGTTGCTCAAAGCCCCATCCAACCTAGCCTTGAATGCTCTAAGGGAAGGGACATCCACCACTTCTCTGGGCAAGCCATTCCGGTGCCTCATCATCCTCAAGCAAAGAACTTCATCCTTATTTCTAATCTAAATCTCCCCTCTTTCAGTTTAAAGCCATCACACCTTGCCCTATCACTCCATGCCTCTGTAAAACGTCCCCCTCCAGCTTTCTTGTAGGCCCCTTCAGGTACTGGAAGTTTGCTACAATGTCTCCCCGAAGCCTTCTCCAGGCTGCACAGTCCCTACTCTCCCAGCCTTTCCTCAAAGGAGAGGTGTTCCAGCCCCCAGATCACTTTTGTGGCCTCCTCTGGACCCACTTCAAGAAGTCCATGTCTTTCCTGTGCTAAGTACTCCAGAGATGGACACAGGACTTCCGGTGGGTCTCACCAGAGCAAAATAGCAGGGCAGAATCCCCTCCCTTGCCCAGCTGGCCATGCCTCTTCTGATGCAGCTCAGGGTATGGTTGGCTTTCTGCACTGCGAGTGCACACTGCTCGATCATGCTGACCTTCTCATCAACCAGAATCTCCAAGTCCTTCTCCTAAGGGCTGCTCTCAATCCATTCTCCACTCAGCTCGTATATGTGCACTCGGCCTTTTTGACCTTCATAAGGTATGCACAGGCCCACCTCTCAAGCCTGTCCTGGTCCCTATGGACAGCATCCCTTCCCTCCAGTGTGTTAACCGCACCACACAGCTTGCTGTTACCAGCAAAGTTGCTGAGCATGCACTCAATCCCAGTGTCCATGTTGCCGACAAAGATGTTAAACACCACAGGTCCCAGTACTGACCCCTAAGGAATGCCACTTGTCACTGGTCCCCACTTGGATATCAGGCCACTGACCAAAACTCTTTGAGTGCTACCATCCAGTCAATTCCTTATCCACCTTGTGGTCCACCCATGAAATCCAGGTCTCTCCAGTTTAGAGGCAAGGATGTTGTTCAGGAAAGTTCAGGCAGGGGAGACGAGGAAGGGGTACTGCCCTCTATGGCAACTGAAAGCTGATGGTTCAGGCTTAGAGGTGGGCAGGGACTGGTGACGTTATAGTGGCCATGTGCTACCAGCTACCAACCAGAAAGACCGAGCAGATGAGGCCCTCTATAGGCAGATAGGAGCAGCCTCATGTTCAAAAGCCCTGGTTCTCCTGGGGTACTTCAATCACCCCAATATCTGCTGGAGAGACAGTACAGCAGGCCATAAGCAATCCAGGAGGTTCCTGGGCTGCGCTGACAATAACTTCCTTCTCGAAGAGATAAAGGAGCCCACGAGGAGAGGTGCTATGATGGACTTTGATCACACCAACAAGGAGGGGCTGGTGGGGAATATGAAGCTCAAGGGCAGCCTTGGCTGTAATGACCATGAAACGATGAACTTCAAGATCTTTAGGTCAGCAAGGAGGGCACACAGTGAGCTCAATAACCTGGGCTTCAGGAGAGCAGACTTTGGCCTCTTGAGGGACCTGGTTGGTAGAGTAACATGGGACAAAGCCCTGGAGGGAAGAGGAACCAAAGAAAGCTGGTCAGTATCCAAGGATCACCTCCTCCAAGATCAGGAGAGATGTATCCCAACAAAGAGGA